CAGCTATACCCTACCATGCTGAAACGCTTTGTAATATGAACAAAATTAGAGAAGGGAGGCCGGGCACAGTGGCTCATGCCTATAATCCTAGCACTTTGGGAAGCCGAAGCAGGTGGATCACGAGGTCAAGAGATCGAGACCATCCTGGTCAACAAGGTGAAACTCCGTCTCTACTAAAAATACAAAAATTATCTGGGCATGGTGGTGCATGCCTGTAATCCCAGCTACTCAGGAGGCTGAGGCAGGAGAATTGCTTGAACCCAGGAGGTGGAAGTTGCGGTGAGCCAATATCGCGTCATTGCACTCCAGCCTGGGTAACGAGAGCGAAACTCCATCTCAGAAAAAAAAAAAAAAAAAGAAAGAAAGAAAATTAGAAAAGGGAAAGAGAAGAAACCTGCAATTTTCAACTTTGTCTCCTTTCTTGGGCATTAATGGAGAGAAAAAGAAACAAAATTGGTAGAAAAACTGTAGCTTCTATAAAAAGTTGAAACTCTATCCCTCAACTGGAGAGAAAAGAAGCTCACATACTGAGCATCGAGTTCTACTACTAAATATGTGAAGCGCTTTTGAATCAACTCATTTAATACTCACTCCTTACTTCATGGGATGTGTAACTGTGATTATCTCAAGCATGAAGATAAGAAAACTGAAGCACAGGAATTCAGTCCAGGGCCAAGGCCACACAGCTGCTGTGGCACGCTGTGTCTCCAGACTTTGCCTCTGTGCAGCAGGTTCCCGGGAAGCACTAATGGTGCATGCCAGGGGCCAGAGCACAGAATCTGAGAATTGGGCCCTGAAATCCTGGGGTAAAGCAAAATAGAAAGAGGATTATTTAACCTGAGAAAGATGACTGAAAAAAGGGAAAGAGTATTATCGATAGGAGAGAAATGTTAAAAAGAAAAATATGCTTTAAAAACATTAGATTGATTATAAATTAGTATTCTTTCTATTAAGATACATGTGTTAATTTTCTCAGTATTTAATTAAAAAACAGGAAAACGTTTGCTAGTTTTAAGTATATATATATGTTCAAGTAGATATATACATACACATATATACATATACCTATATTATTTCTTCCTCTTCCTCTTCCTCCTCCTCCTCCTCCTCTTCTTCATCTTCCTTCTTCTTCTTCTTCTTTTTCTTCTTCCTCTTCCTCTTCTTCTTCTTCTTTCTCCTTCTTCTTGAAGACAGATTTTCACTCTCTCACCCAAGCTGGAGTGCAGTGGCGCAATATTGACTCACTGCAACCCCCGCCTCCCAGGCTTAAGCGATTCTTGTGCCTCAGCCTCTAGAGTAGCTGGGACTACAAGCACATGCCACCATGTCCAGCCATTTTTTTTGTATTTTAGTAAGGATGGGGTTTCACCATGTTGCCAGGGGTGGTCTTGAACTCCTGAGCTCAGGCAATCCACCTGCCTCAGCCTCCCAAAGTGCTGGGATTAGAGGCGTGAGCCACCATGCCCAGCCCATGTCATCTTTTTGTTGTTTTCATATATAGGTATATATACCTAATATAGGTATATATACATGCACACACACACATACACACATAACTGAAACTACCAAATGTTTTCTGTTTCTTCTATTACAAAATACACACGTGTGTGTGTGTCTGTGTGTGTGTGTGTGTGTGTGTGTGTGTGTGTGTGTTTTAAGATGGTAAGGCAGACTTTATTCAAGGAGGCCATGGTGCTAGGTATGGGAACCACTGCAACTCGGTCTTGCAGTGGGAGGTAGAGAATGGATTCAACTCCCTGTATATTTTGATCTTTGTTTTACTTAGGCTTAAATTATGAAGCAGAACTCAAGAAAAAGAAGACTTTAAAAGGAATGGTTATAATCTTTTGTAACAATGTAAATGACTTTAAATATTTGCCATCTAAAATGCTTTAAAAGTATTCCCAATAAAGTATTATTTACATTTCAACTATATTAAAATTCCTTATTTTTCTTAAAGTAATATATTGAATTTATTTGAAATGTTTTCATCCATATATATTAATTTCCTAAAATACAGTACTATTTTCCCTGTGGATTAGCATTGCTAGGTTAGACTTGGCTCTAGAATGCAATGGGAAGTATTAGATTTCAGACAATCGGGGGATTTTCTGCCCATGCACAGTAGATAAACACACATTATACTATTGACATATATTGTATTTCTTCTCTCTTCCACTTGGGAAAACAAAGCCTATAAATCCTATTTATACCATTAGCAATGGGGTCTTTGTTTAGTGAACCTTATAGAGCATCAGGTGTTTTTTCTTCTTGGGTCCTTAAACTGAAACTTAATTGTCCCATGTCACATCTGTTCACAACAATCATGTTACATTATTTTCCCTACATTGTGTTCTTTGAGTTGATATGATTGATGTGGCTAAATGTGATGGATCGAAAAGGTCTGTCAGGCACCACAGAAAATTTCAGAATCTCAGGTCTGCAGGCCAAAGAATCTCTTTCTATGCATACTTTGAAATAGAGTTAAATTTAGAAGAGCAATATGGTTCACCCGATTAAGAATTTTTACCACTGATTATTGACAAACTCCTTTTTGATGATAAAGAGAAAGTATGAGCGATTTTCTATGAGTAGTTGAAGTTTGGGAGTCATTGCCTTGCTGTAAATCAGATATATTCAGGAAGGAATTAGAGTGGAAAGGGATTTATAGTTGCAAGACTGGGTTTGGAATCCCAGCTTTTCCTGTTCCAGTAATGGGAACTTACAGAAATTGCTTTAATTCTTGGAACCACAGTTTCTCATCAGTATCATCTATCACTTGAAGTATTGTGAGAATACCAGGAAAGAATATAACTAAAGGAAAGTTATAAATTACAAAATATTATGACAAGACTCCACAGTTTTCTTGAGAGCTTAGACTGAATAGGAAACTAATTATTTTAAAATACACAGAAAGGGTAATTATTAAGATAATTAGGTCTTTGATACCCAGGAGCACCATTGTGATAGGAGGTCAAGAGATGGGTGGTGTAGAATGAATGCCCCCTGCTCTGCCTCCTTTCATACCTTGAATAGCTACCTTTCTGTTTTAACCATCATAGATTCTAACGTCAAAAATCTGAGTAGTCATTCTTGTTGAAAATATTCTCTTGTCAGCTGATATATTCTTGACTTGTATTTTCACCACTTTTACTGTAATTATAAAATTAAAAATGGGGAAGCTGCATCAGTGTTCTCAGAATTGTCCAAGTGGCATTATGGTTTGGAATTTTCTCCTTTCTACATTCTATTCTTGCCAGACATCTGTTCAGAGTCTACAAGTGACTGAATTCCTCTTTGATTTGCTTTTACAGATGGCCTGATGTAAAGTAACTTATAAGTTTGTATCTGTAACTTTAAGCTAATTGTATCTATAATAAACATCAGACACGTGGTCATGAGCAGAACGAAGAGCTGTATCATTAATTAGAAGTCAGGGTAGGAAAAGAAAGACAGTGGCTGGAGAGTGAAGGTGCAGAGAGAAGAGCCTTTGCTGAGGGATCAAGGTGCTCATATTTGGCAAAGAGGGCCTGCTTTCTACTAAGGTCAACTGTAGTTGGAATTATTGTTCTATTTTTGCTTTAACCTTGCAAAGACATTTAAGCCCTCTGTTCTTCAGTCTTCTCATGAAAAAAATTGTCACTTCTGTAGTTAAACTTCTGTATTGTGAGGTTACCAATTGACTGCAACAACTCAAATGTGCTTCTTTGTGTCTCTAGGTAGTCAGAAAAAATATATAAACCAATTACAGCACAAGTCAGCATCAAGCAGTAGGATCCAAACATTTACTTTTTCTCTTCAGGTAACTTCGTTTATCTTGTGTTACTCGTATTCTTTTGGGATTCTGCTTCTCCTCTGGGTTCCTCCCCAAGTAGCATCTTTTGGAAGAATAGTGGGATCGCTGGACGACTAGTAGCATCTTTGGCAGTGTGTTGAAGTTATTAGTTGGGGTTACTAAGAGAATTAAGGGAAATAGGTCTCTTTGGCCCCAGGCTGGTCCTTGTGGATAGGGGAGTACATTGGCTGGTTTATTTCATTTCTGAGCTGTGTCCATTGATGGTATTTATTGCTGACAATGATGGCAATGGACTTGTGTTCTCTTTATTCTCAGCTCAGTGAGGACTTTGTGTTCTCTTTCGATTGATTTGGTTCCACCTTGGCACCCCTTAGTACAGTCTGAATTCCTTAACTCCAGTTAGAGTGTTCTGCCCTTCAAACCCCAGCTCCAAAAACTCTTATCCTAATTACAGCAGCTACTGCTGACAAGCTCTCAGATAGAACTCAGAGTTGCTATCAGATTTACCTGGCATGCTTCTGTCTCCAGTTTTGAGAGGTAGTCTCTTTCCAAAGTCCCAAAGATAGAGTAGGGGTCAGATCTCCTGCATTTGGAGTTTACCCAATATACCTGTGTTCTTTGGAGGGAAGACTGGAGAAGGTATAGCAGGATCTAAATGTTACACTTCCCATACTTTCTTTCTCCCTTTTCTTTCTTCTTTCTGTCTTCCTCCCTCTACCCCTCCCATTAGAAAAGAAGAACTTTTATTTCCTGTACATTGTATTCTCGTTTTTTCAATAGAGCTACAAGACTTACCCTACCTATTATAAATAGGAGTATCGTTTTGCTCTATAGGAGAAATCCTATGATCTGGTCTATCATGTTGTAGGATTTGGGTTACTAAAAGTGAGTCTAATCTTTGTTAGATAAAATATTAATTATTTATATTACTTTGATCATTTAAATAAAAATAAGAGTTAAACCATATAGTAAAGTATTAAAATCTTCTCTTTTCTTTTCTTTCTTTTTTTTTTTTCCAAGATGGAATCTTGCTCTGTTGCCCAGGCTGGAGTGTAATGGCACAATGTCAGCTCAGTGCAACCTCTGTCTCCTGAGTTCAAGTGATTCTCCTGCCTCAGTCTCCCAGGTAGCTGGGATTGCAGGCATACACCATCACGCCCCGCTAACTTTTTGCATTTTTTATTTTTTTTATTTTTATTTTTTCATTAGAAAAAGTATTTATTTCTGCTCCTTTCATACATCTTATTGTTCAGGAAACAGTCTTACATACATATCTGAAATAATCTACCATCACACACTCTAGTTAAAGGCAAAGCACCATAGGTAAAGCTGATCAGCTGTCCAGAGTTCTTAGCTTATGGAATCTTGCTTCTTGATTTTATGTTAATTTCTGAAAATCTGAATGTCATTTCCAAAAAATGTTAAGGGGGTTGTAAAAAATAATCACTTTATTTGGTATTATAGTTGTAGATATGGAGTATACTTTCTCTAAGAAATAAAAAACTAAGAATAAAATGCCACTCAACATCATTGGTATAGCAGTAGGTCAGCAGGAAAAAAAAATACTGTGATCAACTTGTCTCTTTAAACCAAGAAAGAAATTCTAGTCCAAGTTTCAATATACTTCCTGCTTTTTCACTAGATATTTCTTTTACTGCTGCTCTTCATTCTTTTCCACATTTCACATTAGAGGATTGGTACAGCCTTTAAACTTCCTTGACAGGAGCAAATCCAGTATCCACTGATTTCTTCTCAAAGGCACTCTAACCCATCAGATAGCCCGGCAGTTTCATTCTCATGAATACTCTAGCCATGAAAAAACTCAATAGAACACAGACGAATCCAATGAGTAGAAGAAGAAATCTATTGAGTTTTGGGATATTTGGTGCATTCAATCGGTCCAGGATTATGAAACCTAAACCTCCCATTGTAAACAGGAAGCTGGATGCAAGTCCTTCCATAATATATTGTCCATTTACTCTGTAGGCCAAGAAAGCTACTGTCCTCTGATGCCCATGTTCATCAGTCATAGAGCCAACACTTGGCGGTTGAACAATAACATCATAAATTATTCCTCCGGTGATGAGGAAGTAAGACACCACCACCAGAGCATACACAGTCATGGCCGACGACATGTGCAGCCAGGGGGGCTTCTTCAGCTTCAGGTTGGGACATTCCAGCACTAAGAATGGGACACGGTACAAAGTCTCCATGTTGGTGGCAGCAAGGCGGCCTCAAGCCCCACCCATTTTTAATTTTTTTTGAGATGGTGTGTCGCTCTGTCACCCATGATAGAGTGCAGTGGCATAATCTCGGCTCAGTGCAACCTCCGCCTGCTGGGTTCAAGCAGTTCTTCTGCCTCAGCCTCCCAAATAGCTGAGACTATAGGCACATGCCACCATGTGCTATGCTAATTTTTTGTATATTTAGTAGAGACAGGGTTTCACCAAGCTGGGCAGGCTGGTCTCGAACTCCTGATATTGTTATCCTTCCACCTCGGCCTCCCAAAGTGCTAGATTACAGGCGTGAGCCACCATGCCCGGCATTTTTTGTATTTTAGAGTAATCTAGGTTGAATATCTGCTAGACTTGGCTTACAGTGTTTATCCAGGATTTCCCTTCACCTGAGGATTCCTTTTGTCTTTCTCATGGCTTATATTTTCCATTTCCCATATCCTATATCTTTGTTTTTCTGGGTTTATCTATTCAATTGTTGAAACATATTTTCTAGGAAATTTCTGAGAAATTGTACCAGGAAGTATATTTTCAGGCCATTTTGCCTAAAAATATCTAATTATCTTTATTCTATCTAATGCCTAGTTGTATAACTATATATGGAATTTTGGTTGTAATAATTTTTCTTTAGAATTTTAAAGGCATTATTTCAGGGTCTTCTATCTTCCATTGGCCATTGAGAAGTCTAAAGTTATTCTTTGTTTGTAGGGGGAGGAGAATATTTTATTAATTATATATAGGTAATATACGCAGAGCACCAAATTTAGAAGCAAAAAAATGGTAACTAAGGAGAGAAAAGTTGGTCTTCCTCACATTCATTTCCCCCAGTCAACTTGTTTCCTATCCTCAGGATTACAAGAACTATTATTTTGTAATATCTAACTTTTGAGGATATTCTATGTATATCTATATCTATGTATCAATGATCATATCAACCTAAATCCTGTCATTTGCACAAATTTTTGTGTGGTGTAGTATGTGTGTGTGTTTTATGCATTATACTCTGCAGGAGTCAGAAGACTTTGGCTAAGATACTGCTTAAAAGAGAGGCACTAGTCTTTGATGTAACCATTCATGCCATGTGTTCATTGATGTATCATTCAATCTCTGCTATGCATCAACAATATTATGGATCTCTCAACAAAAGCAATGGTTTTAAAATTTTTAAAATATTATCTGTGCATTGTGGAAAGAAGAGTATCTATGCCCTTCATATATATATAGACACATACCACACACACACATGCATACATATATATTCCAGTTCTTCTGAATATTTCATTTTACTATTAGATTTTTAATTCCTAAGAGCTTTCTCTATTGTCTGAATATTTGTTTATAATAAATATTACCAGTCTTTTATTGTGTGTCTATAATATTGTTTATTTTCTCTCAAAGGAGATTTATGATAGTAGCTTTGTCAAGGCAATTAAAATACGTGTGGGGATTTTAAAAGGTGATTGAAACCTAAGCACCTGAATGTGGCCTGTGAATACTATTAGTCAGTGTCCAATAGGGAAGCAGAACCTCTATAAATATTAAGGTATTTGGCACAGGGATTATACCTAAATATTTGTGAGAGGAGCTAGGGAAGTGAAGGACTAACAGATCAGATAAAATGTCACTAGTGGCAGTATCATAGCCGATGAGGTTTATCCGAGGTGCAATTATTGCTAATTGAAAACTTTTCCCAATACCCCACCATGACTACTTGAAATATAGTCAGCACTGGCAATTTTTAAGTCGCTGCAGAGACTGAATAAATAAAATAAAATAAAAACAAAAACAAAAACAAAAAAATGTCACTAGCAAATCCTCTTCAGGAACTGAAGTGGGTGGAAAAATCAGGGTCTCTAGAGACATCTAAGAAGCCTAGCATGCCCAGTCACCAGAGCAGGACTACAAACAAGAGGTCAAGGAGAGGACTGTGGGAAACGGTTTCCTCTGTACTACCACTGTAGGTTTGCCACCAGGTATCTGGTGATGAGCCTAGGAATGCTGTTTGTTGCCAGGGCCTATAGATGGGAAGAAGAACATGACATGGAGTTGAGGATATGGAAAAATAAGCTGGAATCTACTAGGCATCTCTGTGCTTTTCCAGGATTATATTTAACTGTGGAATTCTTTTTATTTATTTATTTATTTTTAAAAATAGAGATGGGGTGTCACCATGTTGACCAGGCTAGTCTCAAACTCCTGGCCTCAGGTGATCCACCCATCTCAGCCTCCCAAAGTGCTGGGATTACAGGTGTGAGCCACTGCGCCTGGCCAACTGTGGAATTCTTAAGAGAGTAATGACCATTGCTTAGTCTCACACCCAAATTTCATGTAAGTTTTTTTTCTCATGGTTCTCCCTCAGAACCAAAAAGAAGTAACTTCCAACCTACCCAAGTCAGCAGTAGAACAGTATAGCATATGGACTGTGAATGTAATTGTAGGGTGGTCTGTTTGCGATGCTTAATTTTTCTTTTTGGACCAGTCGAGTTCTCAGAGAAGACTCTCTCTGCTGCACAGAGAGTAAAGATCTGGGGGACTGTGGCTAGTTACCAGAGAGAGAGGAAGATAGAGGGGTGGCCTCAGCTGTGATGATGTAGATACTACACTTTTCTTACCCCAACTCTTGTTCTCTGTTTAAATAAGTCTAAAGTTCTCTGTTTATTTCTTCAGAGACTATATCTTCAGTTTCTTTTTTCAAGATATAGCTGAATTATCTCCATTTCTACAAGTATCTGTGGTAGCCAGTTTCTGAGCATTTGGGCAATTCTATGACTTAAACCACTTTAGCTATTGGCTTCTTCCTCTGCTAGTTTAAAATTAGTTTTTCTCAGTCTTGCTGAGTCATTTCTTTTTATTTTTTAATTTTTATTATTTTTTTCTTTTTTTCACTTGGTGACTGACCTTTTGATTTGGTGAGTCATTTCTTCTTAAGCATTTGATTGCTAGTTTATGAAATGTTATAACTGTAATCTCTGTATCTATTCTCCTTCCTTTTATGAATTTATATCCTCAAAAACTTCTATTGTCATTCTAGAATGGTTTAAAGAGCAAGTAAAAATAGATACATGTGGCCAGGCATGGTGGCTCATGCCTGTAATCCTAGCACTCTGGGAGGCCGAGGTGGGCGGATCACCTGAAGTCAGGAGTTCAAGACCAGCCTGACCAACATGGTGAAACCCCATCTTTAAAAAAACAGATACACATGTTCAATATGCCATCTTTGGCTAGGAGTGCACATGAACTTATTTTATCTCCTTGGAAATAAAAAAAAGATTGGATTAAAAAAAATATTCCCGTGGCCCATGATGGGAACATTGAGACATAAAGTAGCTTGAGCACATATCCTAGCTTTTCTCTTGTTCCTTATTCTGTCTACATATGGAATAATAAAACAGCCAGATTTCCAAATCAGGATGATGAATATGAGTCCACAATTTGTGCAAGAATGTCATTTATTTCTTCACTCAACAGTTATATTTTGAGCAACCATAACATTTCTGGCACTTTTTAGGTGATGGAGATACATCAGTCACAAACAGAAAATCTCCCGTTCTTTAAATTCTAATGAAGGACACAGACAACAAGAAAAATAAGGTGTTGGCTTCAAAGAAAAATAATGAATGCTCGCTTCTGCAGCACATATACTAAAATTGGAACAATACAGAGAAGATTAGCATGGCCAAAAAAATAAAAAAATAAAAAAAATAAAGAAAGTAGGACAGAAGGTTGTGGTTCTGCTATTTTATGTAGAATGGAGAGGGAAAGTCTCTCTGGAAGACCACTTTTAATCAGAGACTTGAAAAAAGTGAGAAAACAAAGAGGGGAAAAGCCTTCCAGGCAGGAGAATCAGGGCTGTAGGGCGTGAGATTAAATTAGTCCAAATAATTTCTGAGGTAAATTACGTTGGTGAGACTGTGACTGTTGGTGGATTTGATACAGTTCTTAATAGGACCACTGGCTGCCCTGTTGGTCCTTTCTTCAGTTACATCTATACTGTTGGAGGAGCAAATTTGTCCAGAGCATGAGAGCTCAGGTAAAAGAATTTATTCTCCCTAGTGCCAGGCAATAGTTGAGGGAGCAGCAGGAGACGAGGCAGCCTGGGTCCTCACAAGCTTTGGCACAAAGCCTAGTATTCCATGAAGCAGCTCAACCATATCTCTGAATTCCTCTAAGGAGGGCTGTACTTTTCAATCACCTATGGCCTTAGAAGGAGACATGCCTAACCCACTAATGTTGAAAATAAACCACTGGACTGATTCATGTGTGGTCCCTATGGTTGAAAAATGGCTATCATTTGCATCTGGTGCAGCTACAGAGAAAAGATGCCCTTTGCTTTTGCATTAGCAGAGATGTAATATAAGAAAAGACTGGCACATTGTAAAAATGAACAAACAAATCAACTTTTTTACTCTCTATCACTTGCTAGTTTGTCTCTGAAAGAGCCTAACAGATTGAGCAAATAGCTGAAGGAGATCAGATGTGAGTGAGCAAAGGGAAAGTGCTAATGACTTAAACAGGTTTGGCTACTAGAAAGATGAAGAGCAGCTAAAACCTGATGGATGTCGTTGAAGTAAAATTTTGGAGAGAGGGAGCATAAATCTTTTTTTCCCCATGAGGCATTTTATTTGTAAATATGGATTACACCTCTAGAAAAAGATTCCCAGGATCTTCCCTCCTTTGTGTTTTCATCTTGATTCTTTGTGGTCCATGATGCCAGCTTAGGTTATCAGTACAACGAACATAAACCAGCAGGATGGAAGCAAATTATTCTGCCATTTTTCTAGATCTTTGAGTTGCATATCAAATCTGGGGCTGATGACTCCACACTTTTTTAGCCTTCCTGTGAGGTTCACAACAATTATCCCCACTCTGTGATCATCAATGACTTTAAATTTGTCAGTGTAACCAAATGTAACCATGCTTCATCATCACAGTTAGAAACCGGACAATAACTTTGGAACATGGCCTAATAAGAAGAACCTAGCATTTGCCTCTCTTTTCAGTGTTGTTGAATCTAGCATTTGCTTCTCTCTTCAGCATTGTCATTAGCCAGGACATTTATGCACACCACTGTGGCAATGCAGAAAGATGGCAGAAAGAGTAAAGGACGGGAGAGTGCACAGAGTAATCCAGAACAAACCCTTACAAAGAACCAATGAGGGCTTTTTGTGACAAACTTACAGTATACACACATACATAAAAAGACTTCCTGGAATTATGAAACATGATTTTCATAAATAAAATCATTAGACTAAATAAAAAAGAGAATGGTCTTTGCTGAGAATTAAATTGATAGTTTGGGAGATTACGTAAATGACAAAGAAAACCCAAAAGAGCAAAACAAAACGAAATACAAAAATAAATCATAAGATAAAGAGAAGAAATTTGGAGGACATTTCAAGAGTAAGAACATAATAAAAATTAGAATTCCAGAATTAATTTTGTTACTCTTCCCAGTCAGATATTATTACAGAGCCCAGCCAGCAGCTCCACCTGATAGGAGAGTCCAGCTAGGACTGTCCATGGAGTCTTTTTACTAGTGTTTTCACTACTCCATGGAGCTCAGCCATCAATACTGTTCAATCTAAGAGCACAGAAAGTGACCACAGCCTAACTATAGAACCTGTCACCAAGGTCTGCCAGTTTGGGGTTGGAACCAGATGGCCAATCCAGAAGCCCAGGCTAGATGAAATAGTACAGATCAATCACCACCAAAGAACACCTGAAATGGCCAGACGGGGTGTCATTTCCTCAAATGCATAGCAATCAGTGTAAGGAAACATGGATTATGAAAAATCTGGGAAATGTGATAGCACAAAAAGAAATTAAGAAAGCTGCAAACATAGACACAGAAGAAATGGAGATATATGAAATGACTGACAAATAATTCAGAATACTCCTCTTTTAAAAGTTCAGGGAACTCCAAGAAAATACAAGTAGAAAATTAAATGAAACTTGGAAAACAATTCATGAACAAAGTTAGAAGTTTGGCCCTCCAAAACAGAAAACAAATAGAAACCCTAGAGATAAAAAAATACACTAACTAAATTGAAAAATTCAATAGAAAACTTCAACAGCAAACTTGATGAAGCAAAAGAAAAAATTAGTGAGCACAAAGATAGGATGTGTAAAATTATCCAATTAGAGGAGCAAAAAGAAAAAAGAATAAAGAAAGTCTAATAATAAGAAAATTATGGAATACCATTAAGGAAAACAACTTTCACCAAATAGGAGTTTCTGACGGAGAAGAGAGGGAAAAGGGCCTACAAATTATATTGAGGGAAATAATGGGTGAAATTTTTCCAAATCTGGGGAAAAAAGACAACATCCTAGTAGAGAAGGCACAGAGGTCACCAATCAAATTCAAACCAAAGAGGAGGTCACCAAGACACACCATAATAAAAATATTTTTTAAAAAATGGAAGAAGACTGAAGGCAGCAAGAGATAGAAATATATTACACTCAAGGGAATTCCAATATGGCTTTCAGCAGATTTCTCAGTAGAAAGCCTGGAGGCCAGGAAAGAGGAGGAAAATATATTCAAAATGCTGAAGGGAAATAAGCAAACAAATAACCAATAATATTTTATCTGGCAAAGCTGTCATTCAGAAATGAGGAAGAAATAAAAACCTTCCCAGATAAGCAAAAGCTAAGGGAGCTCATTAGCACTAGGCCTGCTGTACAGAAATTACTAAAGGAAATTCTTTAAGCTCAAATTAAAGGATGTTAATTACAGCAAAACAATTATGAAAGTAAAA